TTTAAAGTTCAACAATTCATTCTTTATCTTAATATCTTTATATTTGTTTGGGGTTGGCTTTCTTCCCTTTCATCTTTTTTATTGTACAGCAATCTTTCTCTTCAAACCTACCACCTCTCTCTTTTCTTTCCTTCTTACTTTCTCTTCCTCCCCCTCTTCTTCTCCTCCCTACTTCCTCTTCCTTTCTCCTTCTCCTCCTCTCTTCCTCCCTCTCTTACCCTTACTCCTACTCTAATTTCCCTTCCCTTCCTTCATCTCTCTCTATTGCTATATCCTTTTATGCATATGGACTACTCAGAGGGCTGAAAAAGTTATTTCTGACTGGTCCTCGCACTTTTGACCAGTCCTCGAACTTACGACTGTCCTCACATTTTACGTTTTTGCCCTATCTTGTCACCATGGTGAAGAGAAGTAGTTGTGAAATGAGTGACATGGTTGTTAAGAATGCTACAATGGGCATAAATGATGACCAGTCATAAGTGCGAAGACCGGTCAAAAGTGCGAGGACCTGTCAGAAATCACTTTTTTCAGCCCTCTAGGTAGTCCTTTTGTGCATATGGACTACTCAGAAGGCTGAAAAAATTATTTTTGACTGGTCCTCGCATTTTTGACCAGTCCTCGAACTTACGACTGTCCCCACATTTTACGTTTTTGCCCTATCTTGTCACCATGGTGAAAAGAAGCAGTTGTGAAATGAGTGACATGGTTGTTAAGAATGCTGCACGGGCATAAATGTGAGGATGGTCATTAGTGTGAGGACCAGTCAAAAGTGCGAGGACCTGTCAGAAATGACTTTTTTCAGCCCTCTGAGTAGTGCCTATACAGATAGCCATGGCCACCCGGTCACATGACCAACTAGCCATGCCCACCCAGTTACATGACCTCCAAGCCACGCCCACAAAATAAGCCACGCCCACAGAACCAGTAGTAAAAAAATTTAGAACCCACCCCTGGTTGGGGGTCACCACAACATGAGGAACTGTATTAAAGGGTCGCGGCATTAGGAAGGTTGAGAACCACTGCACTAGAGGGAACCAGAAGGATTACAATTAAAGAAGAGGAACACTTCAGTTTGACTCACTAATGCAGAATGACGCAAAATATTTTAACATTTGACTATTGAAGAATATTTTTGAACAATGGACTCAGAACTCAATTTTAAAAGTGTCTGCCTCTATAAGATTAATATTAATCTGAAAGTGGATTAAAAATGACAGACTTCAAGAAGGATAAGGAAAAATTGCTACTCTGAATACAAAAGAAACCAGCTGATGCTTTAATAATTATGAGATCTTGTAGGAGAAGAACTGGCAGAGCCAAAGGAAGGAATTAAAAAAGGCATCAGTTTAGAACCATTACATAATCACAAATTAAGTACAACCACCACCATCCTCCCTGAATGCCATTGACCCTTATCTATCGCTAACCAAGTGCTGACTATGAGATGATTCCTGTGCATAGGCTTTTAGCAATAAATCATTTAATCTGAACCTTCTCACGTGGACCTGATTTGTTGTGCCTGACAGATGCAAACCAAGAGAGTGACCTGGACAATTTTCCTGTATTGAATTTGCAAAAGAGGCTTGTTAAAACTTTGAAGAATTTTGTGAGGGAAAAAAAAGAAATTAAAATTAGGACTTTTGGAGGAAATAAAGTTCAAGATCATTAAAATAAAGCAACATAAAATTGGTTTATTTGATTAAGGTTAAAATAGATAATGTTGTTTTCTCTGGTAACCATTAATGAATTTTTGCTGATCAGAACAGAAATGATGAAGCTGTAAAGATTATAGATAAGAGATGGGATATGGGAAGAAATTATTTATTTTATTTTGGGAGGTGATTAAGCTACCCTGTTTCCCCCAAAATAAGACATCCCCTGATAATATTTCAGGATTCAAAAAAATATAAGACAGGGTCTTATTTTTGGGGAAACACAGTACTAAAATTATTTATACAATACCTGCAGGGAAGCGATTTCTTTACCATATTCTTATTTTTTTTTCTTTTCTACTTTTCTTTTCTGTGCTTTCTAATTTTTATTCTTTTATTTTTTTTAGTTTGTATTTATCTGTTTTTAGTTGTCATTCTTAATAAAATTACTGTGAAAAAAGGAAAGTAGAAAAAGTCTGTTTTTAGTAGAGACTTGATTTGCATGCTGAAAACTCCAGATGTAATCTCTGCTTCTCCATGATTAGAAGTATGCCAAGAGGTTATATGAAGAGCCATCTGCCAGCAGAGGAGGTAATAGAGGGATAAGCAGTCTGACTTGCTTCTCCGGCCTTGGTGTCTAATAATAGACAAATCTGGAAATAGCTGCATTATGAATAAACAGAATGGGAACTGTGCCTCTTTTACTACATTATAAAAAATATTTTGTGTTTGTATTCATACCTAAAACTGAATGCGTGGACACACCCTTGTACTGAGGTGCGAAATGACTAATCTTTTGCTACAGGATGAAAATGAGCAGTTCTCCTGTGGCTGAGTGCTTTAGCTCTTTCCTTGCTGGATCTTTTCCTTCATTTTATTTAGTATGATGATTGTTCTGCATATCCACCCCAGAGTCCTACACAATGTATTTGGTTCAAGCATGCCGGTGCTCTTATCTGCTTAGCTGCAGGGCTGGATCTTCTACCCCAAATCACCCTTTGGCCTAGGGATAAATGGCTATCAGTAGATTACTTTTACTGATCCATACCAAAGGAATTGATCACTCTTGGAATACTGCATCCAGTTTTGGTCGTCACAATACAAAAAAAATGTTGAGACTCTAGAAAGAGTGCAGAGAAGAGCAATAGTCCGCTCCCACAGAGAGGGTCTCCTCAGGGTGCCATCGGCCAAGTCATGTTGGCTGGCGACACCCAGGGCGAGGGCCTTCTCTGTGGGAGCCCCAGCCCTGTGGAATGAACTGCCCCCGGAAATTCGTAAGATTTCTGACCTCCGGGTATTTCGCTGCGCACTCAAGACCCTATTGTTCCGCCAGGCTGGGTTAGCAATATAATTTTAAATTGGATGTTTTAAATTTTTGGGGTTTTAAATTAAGCCAAATTTATTTAATATTTTTAAATTATTTTAAATTGATGTTTATTCTGTTTTTAATTAGGCTGTACACCGCCCTGAGTCCTTCGGGAGAAGGGCGTTATAGAAATAAAATAATAATAATAATAATAATAATAATAATAATAATAATAATAATTATTATTATTATTATTATTATTATTATTAAAGATGATTAGGGGACTGGAGGCTAAAACATATAAAGAACTGTACTTGGAATTGGGTATGTCTAGTTTAATGAAAAGAAGGATTAGGGCAGAGATGGGTTTTAGCAGGTTCTGACCAGTTCTGGAGAACCGGTAGCGGAAATTTTGAGTAGTTCAGAGAACTGGTAGTATAAATTCTGACTGGCCTCTTCCCCATCTATTCTCTGCCTCCCAAGTTCCAGCTGATCGGGAGGAAATGCGGATTTTGAAGTAACCTTCCTCTGGATTGGGGAGGGAATGGAGATTTTACAGTATCCTTCCCGTACCATGCCTACCAAGCCACGCCCACCAAGCCATGCCACGCCCACCAAGCCACATCCACAGAACTGGTAGTAAAAACATTTGAAACCCACCAATGGACTAGGGGGTAACATGTTAGCAGTGTTCCAATATCTGAGGGTTTGCCACGAAGAAGAGGGAGTCGAGCTATTCTCCAAAGCACCTGAAGGCAGGACAGGAAGCAATGAATGCAAACTAATCAAGGAGAGAAGCAACCTAGAACTAAGGAGGAATTTCCTGACAGTTAGAACAATTAACCAGTGGAAGAGCTTGCCTCCAGAAGTTGTGGCTGTTCTAACACTAGAGGTTTTTAAGAAGAGATCAGACAACCATTCGTCTGAAATGTTATAGGGTTTCCTGCCTGAGCAGGGGATTGGATTAGAAGACCTCTACTGTCACTTCCAACTCTGTTATTCTGATATCATTTCAATGCTTCAGCTACCTCCTCCTCTCCATCCCCAGGCCACGGCTTTTCAGTATTCCTTCGAACCCCATGACCATAAGACACAAAGATCACCTCACCGTTTCTCATAACAACTTGCTTGTCTGGCATCAGTGTTTATTGCATGTTATAAAAGAAGGCAGAAAGATAATTAAAAATTTTACCAACACAACCTTTTTTCCCCCCAAATACCCTACCCTTTTCATTATTTTTAAGGAAGCTATAAAAGAACTTTTGTGGGAACAAGTACTGGCATTCGGTTAATGAAAAATTTCAACAGCAGCCTGAGAGAAGAAAACAATACCAGAAGCTCTAAAGAAGGCCTAACTTTCTGTGTGGCCTAAGTGAGGAAAGCTAACTTATGTCTGCTGGGTACATCAATTCTTTATCACAAAGGGAGAACCTAAAAGATATGCTCTTTTGTCCTTCATTAGTCACTCCATGATTTAATAGAAAGCAAGAGACTCTGGATTTGAAGTGGTGATAGCCTCCTGTTTCACAAAATGATTCCATTAAAAAATCCACCAGACACCATGACTGCTTTTTCAGGTGTGTTGTGATGTGTAGAAGGCAAGACAAGAGACAACGGATGGAAAGTAATCAAGGAGAGAAGCAACCTGGAATTAAGGAGAAACTTCCTAACAATGAGGACAATTAACCAGTGGAACAGCTTGCCTTCAGAAGTTGTGCAGGCACATACGTATTTATATATATTTATATATAACAAAATCTCTTCCTGTGAGGTCTGCAGATCACTTTAGTATCTGCTTCCAAGTGGTATGCTAATCCATGAAGGAAATTTGCCATTTAGAAGAGGCCTTCCCCTTCCTGCAGTTTAAGTTGTCTTTCAAGTGGTTTATACGCCAGAGAGAGTGCAAAGTAATTCACCTGAGCAACTAAGCTGCTACTAGCTGCCCAGGTATGCAAGGGGTGTGGCACAGCAGGGAGGTTTGCCTGTGAAGGGACCAATAAGTATTTCAAGTCATACAAGTAGCTCATAATTTCTACGTGCTAGTCAGATGTTGCTAGCTTTGTGTCCCAAGGAGAAATGATAGCAGCAGAAGCAGACAGCTGAGAAGAACAGAGTTTTGCCCAGTAAGTAATTCCAATAATATTGGGGATGTCCAAAATACATTCCTTGGGATAGGTATGGCCTATCCCGGGTATGATGGGTATGAGATTCTTTGTGAATCTCTCATAAGGAAGGGAGATTTGGGGAACAGAGTGAGATGGTTAGGAACCTGACCACCATATCCAGGGACTTTGATAGTATTTTTCTGTGTATTGAAATTGGGAATAACAGAAGAGCAGTTTGGGAATCTGAGCTTTGAATTGAGATCAAGGCAGTTTTCCTTCACTCCATGCTTTTCAAGTAGTTGGAAAGTGCAGATTGGATACATCACCTATCTTTCTGGAGAGCATCAGGTTTGAGGAAAACTGGTCTAAGTCATCAGCATTTCAATAGAAGTGGACATCACTTCAGAAGCCAAGGGTAGCACTTAATCTATTTAGCAGAATTGTGAGCCATAATGGAGAGACTAATGATACCTCAAAAAAGGGTGGGATAGAGAGGCAGGAGGAAGGCTGAGGCCGTATTGATTCCTAGAATCATAGATTGGAAGGACCTTGGAGGTCTTCTAATGCTCTAACTCTTGCTCAAGGCAGGAGTAATGTGACCATATCATATATATCAGCCAGGATGTCCCTTTTTCCCTGAGTTTTTCAGGGGAAAGGTAGTCTTTAAAAAAAAAGTACTGTGTGGTTTTGGGATGTTCTCTGCTGCAAAATTGTGGGAACAGTGCTATCAATGGTTAGCAATTATAGCTAGAAGAGTTACTGAAAAAGGAGAATATTTGTAGCTCATGGTTGAAATGAGGCGTCCTTGGTGCTCTCTGAGCTTGGTTATTTTTTTGCAGATGTTTCATCACCCAAAGTAGGTAACATCTTTTGGGTAATGAAACATCTGCAAGGAAACAGACAAGCTAAAGAGCACCAAGGACCACTCAGGTAAAAGAATTCTGTGTTTTCCGTTTGCCCATTCCACGTTAAGAGGATAATATTCGGCACTCTCTGGGAAGGGCACCTGAATCATGGAAACTTAATCAAAAGCCGACTCTGAAGTTGGGCAATCAGGAACTCAAAGAATGTTTGAAATAAAGTGTGATTGCTGCAGGATAATTCATTATGTAATGAATTGTGGACTGAGCTGGTCAGGAGCTCCTAATTTCATTTCATTTCACTTCATTTATTGGATTTATATACCACCCTACTCCCGAAGGACTCAGGGCGGTGAACAGCCACAGAATAAAACACATAAATACAAAATTTAAAAATAGAATAAAACCGAATTAAACAATTTGGCCGAGACAAATTTAAAACACCCAATAATTTTAAAAACAAATTAAAATTTACATTTTAAAGGGGAAAGATTTAGGCCAGGCCAGCTTGATGGAATAAAAAAGTATTGAGAGCGGCCTGGCTTGACCGAGGCTGCTGAAAGTTATAATTCAGCCACTGTCACATTACAGGGTATAGAATTGCTGCTCTCTGCCCTTTTGAACAGATTATTTCTAAAACCCTAGAGATGGAACTGAACCCTCCACAAAAACCAACAATTTGCAGTTAGAAAAATGATGGATCCTTAAAACTCAGAGAAAATGTATGTGTGGCACTGTGTGTTTGAACAAGGAGCAGAAAAAGTGCTCCTGATAAATGGGCACACTTGGAGTCCACACATTATGTACTTCTTTGTTTGCATCCATGTTGGCCAAAAGGCAGGATGTCCATTTTAAAAATGAGAAAAGAGGCTAAGAGCCAAGATTTGGGAGTAACAACGAAATGTGTACTGTAGTCTTAAATTCTCTGAAGGAAGATACAAATAGTCCTTGACTTACGACCAAAATTGAGCCCCACATTTTGTTGTTAAGTACGTTTTGCCCCACTTTACAACCTTTCTTGCCACAGTTTTTAATGAGCCACTGCAGATGTTAAGTGAGTAACCTGGTTGTTAAGTGAGCCTAGCTTCCCCATTGACTTTACTTGTCAGACGGTCACAAAAAGTGATCACAAGAGCCCAGGGACACTGCAACCATCATAAATATAAAACAGTTGCCAAGAATCTGCACTTTGATGACATGGTCATGAGGATGCTACAACAGTCGTAAGTATGAAAAAGGTCATAAGTCACTTTCTTCAGTGCAGTTCTAACTTGAATGGTCACTAAAAGAATGGTTGTAAGTCGAGGACTACCGGTAGTAGGAGTTAAAACTAAATCTGGAAAGTAAAATTGTAGTAAATGATGTCGGGAAAGTCCAGACTGCATAATCAAAGGGGTTTTGTTACTTTTGTGGCTTCATTGCAACCATCCTAGAATTAGGCACTGGTTCAAAATGAAGAATAGATCTCCTAATAAAGAATAAATATCTAGCCATGGTTTAGCAATGATTCAAGCCTCCTTTGATCAAAGGATTATCCTTCTTTGCTTTTTAATACCTTGCATGCCAACAGCAGATGCAGCATCTGTGTCATTGGAAGTATGGGCAGTCTTTGTTTTACGACCAGAATTGAACCCAAAATTTCGGTTGCTATGTGAACCATTTGTTAAGTGAATCTTGCCCCATTTTATGACCTTTCTTGCCACAGTAGTTAAGTGAACCATTGTGCAGTTATTAAGTTAGTGGCATGGTTATTAAGTGAATCTAGCTTCCCCATTGCCTTTGGTGTCGGAAAGTCGCAAAAGATCATCACATGACCCCAAGACACTGCAACCATCATAAATATGAGTCAGTTGTCAAGTGTCTGAATTTTGATCACGTGACCACGGTCGTAAGTGTGAAAAAGGGTCATAAGTCACTTTTTTCAGTGCTGTTGTAACTTTGAACAGTCACTAAATGAATTATTGTAAGTCAAGGACTAACTGTACAGCACAGCCAACTTTGAACATTTGTCCCTAAGGCTGTCAGTACAGGAAAGATGGTTAGCTGTTCTTTAAAATTCATCTCATTTGGATAGCTAGCAGAAGAAAGGGGAAATGGGTAAGCAATGGTCCTTCTCCACCTGAACCTTAGACCCAAAATTTCACCTAACTGAAAAAGCAACATTTCCCGTCACCATCACCACTTCTGTACTGATTATTGGTCATAGTTGCTAGATCCATGTGGACAAATCTATGGCTGGATCTTCTATGTAGATCTTGCAAAGAACCGGTGGTCCAGCTCCCATCTCTCTCCTTGCCTCAAGAAAAGAGTATTTTAAGCCTTTACCTTCAGGCTTTTAACCCAAAACACCTTGTGCAAATTCCTCTTCCCCTAAAGAACGTTTGTGTTATAAAACCAGGGAGTGGTGGCATTGATCAACCATTCAAGAAAGTGGCAACCCACCTTTAATAAATAAAGTTGTCACCCGGTGTCATGAAGAGGTGTGGCAACTTGCAAGATTCTCGGGAAGCAGCAGTGCTAAGTTATTTTCCTTTCTTCAACAGGCAGGCACACAAAAGTACACACCCTTCCGAAAAACACCCAACACACTGTTTTCTTATTTGCAGTACATTGTGTACATACATATGGTTTTTTTAATATATTTTTCATAATATATTATATTTATATATTTCATAATATAAAATGAAATCAAAAATAAAAGGGAAATGGGAAAGTGGGGAAAAGAGAAGTGGGAGAAAAAAGAGGGGTGAGAGAAGGAAAAAACCTATTAATTTCCAACCTTTTCAGCAGAGTAGAATAAAAATGATAAAATACAGCCTCAACTTTTACATATTTAGCATTGACTTGCCATTTCTATAACAACAAACTTATCTAATCAAACCTTGTTCTTTAACAATTTCTTAAATAGCAATAGCACTTAGAAATTATATACCGCTTCACAGTGCTTTTACAGCCCTCTCTAAGCAGTTTACAGAGTCAGCATATCGCACTCCCCCCGCCCCAACAATCTGGGTCCTCATTTTCCAACCTTGGAAGGATGGAAGGCTGAGTCAACCTTCAGCCAGTAAGAATCAAACTGCTGAATTGCTGGCAGTTGGCAGTCAGCAGAATTAGCCTGCAATACCTATTCTAACCACTGCACCACTAAGGTTATGCGGTGACTAACTGTTAGCATGCTCACAGCTTATTGATAAATGGCACCATTAAGGACACAATTGCAATGGTCTACTCAGTAGTCTCGCCGTATCACATTGCCTTCACGTGACGTTTTGCAATGTTTTTCCCATTCGTGGAGCTGAGGTGGGTGTAGCCTACACATGACGCATCTGGTCCGTGGGCTGCCAGTTTAACACCCTACTGACATCTTTGGAGGCTTCCTCACTAGGAAATAGATAATACATGCATACAGCAAGCTGACTGTTTTTATTAGCTTCTCCCCCAAAAGACAACAGGGGTTGGTCTGATAAACTAAGAGTGGGTGCAATGGAAAACACATTCCATTGGTTCCACTGATATGGATCAAAATCCTCATAGGTAATTAATGCACTGAAAAGTTATGCTGGTAAACATTTGCTTAATGGATGGACTTCATTTTGCATTAAGTCTTTGTACAATTTGTTTGTTTTGGTTGGCTGATTATGTGAACTCTACAAACTCTGGTTTTTACACCACGGTTTACAGTTTTGCATGTTGGTGCAAAACAAACCGTGATTTTGAAATCATGTTTTATAGTTTTGCATTGTTGATGCAAACCCACCAACGCTGGTTTCTAAATCATAGCTTTCATATTGGTGTAGAACTAGGTTACTATGGTTTCTTCAACTAATTTACACTAATAATAACTTAGTGTGATTTGTAAACTGAATCATTGGCTGCTTTTTATTCAGTACTGTTATTGTTGGTTAAAAGGCACTATTTTAATTCTAATTCTTTATTCTATTCCAATAAAGAATTCTATGCTTCCCAACCTCGGCAACTTTAAGATGTGTAGACTTCAATTCCCAGAATTTTCCAGCATGCTGCTGGATTCTGGGAGCTGAAGTCCACACACACTACCTGGAAGATTCTGGGAGTTGAGGTCCACACATGCTGGCTGAAAAATTCTGGGAATTGAAGTCCCACATTTTAAACTTTCCTGGGTTAAGAAACACATGCTTAATGTGTGGCATTTCCAAAATGGGATGACCTTTAAATGTGTTGGACTCCAGTGATTACTTTTCATGGGAATTGCACACCAACAAACTCAGAGGATTCAAGTCCCAAAAGAATGATCTAATGGATTCCAGCAGTGGGGAATTATCTATTAGTAGAGAACTGTTATACTCTGGGGACAAACAAGAGTAATTTTTTTTACTTCAAGTAATTATTTCAAGTAATTTGTTTTCCTATGTTTCCTAGGCAGCAGTAATTTTGGGCTAGGCCCCACATCGGCAGTACAGCTAAATGAACTGTTATGTTAAGTCATAGGGTGTGTTTCATCATGTTTTTGAGAATAATAAACAACCTATTAGCTGGGTTTGTACAAACTCAGCTGTGAACCATTGTTTACCAAGTGCAGTTCTGCAGTCAAATGCATCAACTTGAAGCCAAGCAAATTAAGCTATGGATTGGCCTGTTGTATGAACTGAGGTTGCATTTGATCAAAGCTGGCCAAAACCAAACTAAGAATTTCAATCATTGTGTAATGTCGAGCCAGGTACAATTTCTCAACCTAACCTGCCATCCAAGACTGGGGTGAAATTAAAAGGAAAGCCATGTAATGCACCTCGAGTCTTTTGGAGCATAAAATAGCAGGTAGAAATGTAACTGAAGACATGTAACTAGCCCATAAATCAATACAACTGATCAGCTAATGAAGAAATTAAAGAATGTGGAAAAGAACAATATATCTTTCTGGCACTGGCATTTCCTATTTTTTACCCAGACTGGGCACCTAAAATCCAGGGGGGAAAGTCTCTTGGATTTCAATTTATATAGCATGTTGGTCCTAAAATGTGAGGGATTAATTTATGTTTTATTTATATTTATTTATATCCCACCTTTATTATTTTTACAAATAATTCAAGGAGGTGAACATATCTAACACACCTTCCACCTCCTATTTTCCCCACAACAATCCTGTGAGTGAGTTGGGCTGAGAGAGAGGGATTGCCCCAAAGTCACCTTAGCTTTCATGGCTAAGGCATGACTTAAACTCACAGACTCCTACTTTCTTGCCTGGTGCTTTAACCCAGGGGTCGCCAACCTTGGCGACTTTAAGACTTGTGGACTTCAACTCCCAGAATTCCTCAGCCAGCTTTGCTGTGGATGTCCACAAGTCTTAAAATCACCAAGGTTGGAGACCCCTGGGTTAACCACTAGATCAAGCTACGGTGCAAAGTGCTTCACCAAATCTTGCAGTTTGCAAATTGAATTTTCCAAGAATATTATTTAGGCAACTTCATTCAAAATGAAATGGATTGGGAAGATAAAGATTGGGGACACATCATTGGGCAGAAAATGATCCACCCAAATAAAAAAAATCTATAGAATTTCTATTTGGCACTGCAGTTTGAGTTGGGTTTTATCTTGAATTTTGACACCATAGTGTTCTAGCAGTAGGAGGTGAGGTCTTGGCTGCTATTCTTTTAGCTGTGGGACAAAAGCCACCTGTTCTTTGAGAGACCGCTGATTTTTCTTCTCTTCCTTTGAAAAGGTCGTGGTGTGAATTTCAGATAAGGTTGCTGACATCATGAGTGACTCAGGAAGGTAAGCGTGTGAGAAAAATATTCTATTTTTTAACACCTGCCTAACTAAAGAGATAAGTGGCAAAATTTCTGGGACCAACTCTACCCAAATGATAGACAAAGCAATGTCCAAGGCATTGTGTGAGAAGAGGTACCCCTCTGATGGAATCTGATTCTGTATCTGATTCGTTCTGGTTGCTTCTGTTGGTGAGATCCACTCTATGAAAACTAGCTTTGTTTTTCAGTATCACAAAAAACTCAATGTGTATACCCTATTCCTTAGCAGTGTGATAAAACACTTTTGTTTAGTAAATATTTAGGATCGGGGGTGGGGAGGGGAATGGAATCCTAAATGCAATCTGGAAAACTATCGCACATCGGGATAGATACAAGGGAATTGTTTATAGCAGGAATTACCAACCTTGGCAACTTTAAGATGCTCATCCTCATGCTGGCTGAGGAATTCTGAGAGTTGCAGTCTACAAGTCATAAAGTTGCCAAGTTTGGAGACCCCTGCTATAGTCAGATAGAATAGCTATCAGTATGTTGGTGAAGATTCTCAGTATTCCAGGTAGAGTAGTCTGGAAGTTGACTTACGGAAATTGGACTTTTTTATTGTCGTTGTTTAAAACATTTTGCTGATTATCTAGATAGCTTAAGAAAAAGACTGAAGAAACTACTTGAATAAGCTGAGAAATATTTCAAACAGAAAACAGAAAATAAGTCTAGTTACTATGATCCAACCTCTAGTCTAGAGTCTAGACAATAGCTGTCAGCCTTCCCAGGTAATCTATACAGAAAATATGTCCAAGTGAACTAATTGTAATTTATTGTAAGGCTACATTAGCAGAATCTTGCAAGTCTGAAAGTACAAATTTCTGACTATTTTTTTTACCACATTTAAGTTAAGGATATTTTTTTCTTCTTTTTCAACTTGTTATGCAGCCAAGGGTATTATGTAACTGTTCCCTTGGCAGCATCTCTCCCCTCCTTTTATTTATGTGGTTTTTCAGGTGACAACTGCTGTTTTTAGAAAGCTTTGAAAAGGCATGATTCAGCTAAGACCTGATGAAATTAGGGAACATGGCTCATAGATTTTACTGTTTCCTTCTTCAACTTGCTGATTTCTAGGTATATTGGGTTATAAATCTCATCATCCCCAGCTAGCAGTGTGCTTGGGGTTTATAGGAACTGTAGTATTGTATACCAACTCTGCAGAGCTCCAGATTAGGAAAGATTTATTAAGATCTTCTCCACCTTTCCCCCACAGAACCTGAGCAGGTCTTCCCTGATGCTCACCTCTTTAAGGTGATACAAAGCTGTAGGAGACTTCTGAAGAACCTAAAAGAACTTTCTTTTTTAGAAATTTAAGCAACTCTGGCAACCCTCATTTCTAGTGAGATGTTAGCAGGATTGAAAACAACCCCTGTAATTTTCATTAGCATCTTCATTGCTCCTTGGTTAGTCATTGCCATTTCCTGTCCATCTTGCTCTGAGGCAAAGCTACTGATCATCATCATAAATACCTAAGGAATGGCCACTAACTCAGATCAGAGTATGCCAAGAGTCAGTATAGTATTCTGCTCTCATTCCAGTAGCCTTTGGCAAGTCTAGGGGCACAACTATGGCAGTATTATTCCTTCTTCCTTTCTGCTTTGACAAATGAGTGTGTGTCATTGGGACTATTATTCAAATGCAAGTCTGAAATTAAGGTTTAAGAGCTACTGGTTGTGGTAAAAACCATCCGGATGAAAGGGTGTAACCTTGCTTTGGGGCTCAATGAGGATTAAACAACATGTTATTGTTTTAATGTCTTTTAAATTGTTTTAGAATTTAAGTAGTAAGCTACTTAGAGTCACTTGCTTGAGATGGGTGGCTATAGAAATTGAATGAGTAAGTAAGTAGTAAATAAATAAAATCAAGTAGCACTAATTATAACATCATTTTTTGAGATAAATTGTGGATGTTGTTGAAATAGAAATAGGAATAGCACATAGTAATATAACAGTATTTACTAAGTATATTACTGAAGTGTTATATTACTGAAGTGTTATATTATTGAAGTATATTACTTTATAGTCCTTTACAGCCCTCTCTAAGCAGTTTACAGAGTCAGCATATTGCTCCCAATAATCTCGGTCCTCATTTTACCAACACTTCCGCGCATGTGCAGAGATATTCGGGCAAGTGGGTGGAGCTTCCCACCACTGCCGCTATTGGTTCATCCGATCCGGGTTGAACCGGTAGCAACTCACCACTGAAAGGATACTTCAAAGAACCCGGGCTAATAAGCCTCTTAGATTCTTAGGGAGCCTGGAAGCCTAGCAAAGTTTGAGAAGACAGGGAATTTGGGCTGGAGAAGCTAAGATTGTCATCTGATTTGTCTGTTTTGTCTCCCAGTTTATTTGGTGACGTTCACAAGCCCAGTGCCAGAGCCATCTATGGTGAGTTTGGGACCATGGGAATATAACCAAGGGAACACCTTTGTGTTGGGATGATTGTTGGACTGAAGGTTATTCCATCTTGCAGCTCTACCATCCTCAGCAACTCACAATTCTCTAGTCTCATCAATCACACTGCCCATCTCCTGCTACAATGCTTTATGCCTGCAATCCCCTCTCTAGCGCCAAATAACTAATCTTATATATACTGGTAGCTACCAATTCTGAGCTGCAGAAATCTAGATGACGGCTAGATGGCAGCAAAGATTTCTGCAGGCAAAACTGAATTGGTCAAATCTAATATTCTTTTCTCTCCTTGTGGTTTTTAAGTTTCTGGTTTAATTTATTATTATTATATAGACAACAATGTGAAATCAAAACTGCCAGCATTTTAACTAGTGTGAGCCTTCATACATTTTAAGTTCTTCCCAAGAACCTAGGATATCATAATATATATGTGGATCTAGGCAATGTGGCCTTTTGTAATTGTCAGATGGAGATGTTGTCAATACACAGATTTCTTAAGTGCCATCCAAGATTTTTTGTTATGTTACCCATAACCGTTGGGTTATGGCACCAGTTTACACCATAATCTTTCAACTATGATTTTGATACTTTGTGAATTTCTCCAATCATCATCATCATCAACCCCCAGTAAGACACTACCTTGAAGTGGTTGTGGGACTTGTGTGCTCTGAGGAAGATGGGAGCTATGCCAGAAGTTCAACCATATTGGATAGGTCTCATTAGAGGAATCAGACAAAGACTGTCTCTCCAATTAAAAAAAATATGGTGAGAGTAAATTTCAGAAAGCCAAACAGCTTTGGATGTCACCCGAGTTAACAAGGTCCATACTAGATGTTGGAGTTCCTGGATATCTTGTTAAAAATGGGATACAGAACTCAGGATTGTTGGCTGAGCAACCAGGGCCAACAGCTGCAGAACTAGAATAAAAGATATTTATCTGTCACAAATGTACAGAGATTGAAAACAAAGAAATAATGATCTGTTATTACAAATCAAGTCGAACAAGAAGAGGATATTTGAAACGAATGCACCAGTTCTAGAAAGAACAACATTCAGAATCAGAAATAACAGAACAGAGTAATAATGATGGTGGTAGTGGGACCATAAAATAAAGAAAGTAATGGAAAATGAAGAAGCTAAATTGCTCTGGGACTTTAGAATTCAAACAGACATGGAACTGCCACATAACATACCAGACTTAACAATAGTTGATAAAACAGCCTGCATAGTGGACATGGCAGTACCTGAAATCAGAAGAATAGAAGAGAAAGAATAAGAATAAGAATAATTTTATTTCTATACCGCCCTTCTCACGAAGGACTCAGGGCAGTGTACAGCCTATTAAAAGCACAAGACAAACATCAATTAAAATAATTTAAAATTATTAAATAATTTGGCTCAATTTAAAACCCCAGAAATTTAAAACACCCAATTTAAAATTATTATGTTGATAGCCCGGCCTGGCGGAACAACAGGGTCTTGAGTGCACAGCGAAATGCCTGGAGGTCAGAGATCTTACGCACTTCCGGGGGCAGTTCATTCCACAGGGCTTGGGCTCCCACAGAGAAGGCTCTCCCTCTGGGTGTCGCCAGCCGGCATAACTTGGCTGATGGCACCCTGAGGAGACCCTCTCTGTGGGAGCGAACTGGCCGATGGGAGGCTATTGGTGACAGAAGTCGGTCTCGAAGGTACCCTGGTCCTATGCCATGGAGCGCTTTAAAGGTGGTGACCAACACCTTGAATCGCACCCAGAAGACCACTGGGAGCCAGTGCAGCTGGGGTGTCACGTGGACACAACAAGTTGCGCCCATAACCACTCGCATGGCCACATTCTGGACCAGTTGGAGCCTCCGAGTGCTCTTCAAGGGGAGCCCCATGTAGAGAGCATTACAATAGTCCAGCCGGGAGGTGACAAGGGTGTGAGTGACCATGCGCAAGGCGTCCTGGTCCAGAAAGGGCTGCAACTGGCGAATCAGGCGAACCTGATAAAAGGCCCCCCTGGCCACGGCCGTCATATGCTCTTCAAAAGACAGCCATGTGTCCAGGAGGACGCCCAGATTGCGAGCCCTCTCTGTGGGTGGCAAAGAAAGAACTGGAGAAGATAACAAAATACAAGGACCTGCCAATAGAAGCAGAACGACTGCAGCAAAAGAAAGCAAAGGTATCACCAATAGTAATAGATGCTGTTTGATCGGGTGGACTGGCATAAACGAGGCTTGGTTGCTTCAGAACTAATTTTATTTAACAACAACTATAGACAGATCTCGCGCGGCGGCAACAGAATAGAACAGCCAGCCTGACAGCTGCTTAAATAGCAAGCTGTCAGACAGCGCGAGCCAATGGGCGAGCAGCTAGTTCCCGCTAACATCGCTGCTCGCGTCTGAAATCGGCAACGGCTAGCAACACAGTCCTGAGCGGGGTCGTAACTGTGAGGACTCAACACCCCTCTCCCCCCGGATCGCGCATGTGTAGTCCTCCAAGTACGCGGGGCAACGACGGGACCGGCTAGACCGTCGTAAGACGACTGTGGGTGACGTCGGAGGCGGAGCTTCAGTGCACCTGTCATGGACCATCGGAGGAGGAGCGGCGTCGCTGGGGTGAGAGCATGCGGAAGGACTCAAACTCGCCGCTGGGCCCGGAATGTCAGGTGAATCAGCCAGTGGGCTGGAATCGGCCTGGGGAGGTTGGTTTGGAATGGTCCTGGTAGGTGGTTCGTCTAAGGCGGTAGCTCATGCTGGAATAGGATGGTCTAGGGCAGGCTGTGTGTCCAATCCCTCTGCCAACCTTCGTCTCAGTTGATTAATATGTCGTCGCCAGACTCTTCTGTCGGCAAGCTGGACCCTATAAGAATAGGGTTCGGTTATTTGGATTATTTGCCCTGGCAGCCACTTCATGTCCTTATCGAAGTTTAGAGCGTAGACCAGGTCCCCACTCCGAACACTCGGGCCGGGATGCATGCCCCAGGAGGCGGCTCATGGGCGTAGTTAGGATGCAGGTGGTCCAGGGTTGTCCGGAGTCGGCGGCGCATGAGGAGCTCGGCGGGACTGTGTTTGAGGGTAGAGCTGGGGGTTGTATGTTGAGCCAGCAGATACTGGTGTACCCTCTGTTGCCAATTAATGGAACTCAAGCGGCGTAACACCTCTTTGGCCATTCACACAGCCCTTTCCACCAAACCATTAGCAGCCGGATGCGAGGGTGCCGTTTGGGCATGGCGAATGCCCAGCCTTGCGAAAAACATCTGGAAGGGTGCCAAGGTGAATTGCGGCTTGTTGTCACTAACCATGGTGTCAGGCAACCCATGAGTGGTGAACAAACCCTCTAACACCCTAATGACGGCTTCTGATGTGGTGGATGCAGGATGGCAAGCTCTACCCATTTGGAATACGCATCCACCACTATCAAGAAGGTTTGGCCCATAGAGGGTCCTGCGAGGTCCAGATGGACTCTCGCCCAGGGCGCCCGGAGAAACTCCCATTCCAGTACAAGGGTGGAGGGGAGGCAGGGCGCGAGTGCTGTCATTGCGGGCAACGGGCCACCCATTCCTTGATATCAAGATCAAGTCGTGGTCATCAGACGTAACTCCGGCCAAGGGATTTCATTCGCACAACACCCGGATGGGCATCGTGGAGGCTAGACAAGATCTGGTGTCTGAGGCCAGGGGGCACAACCACCCTGTTGCCCCACAGCAGGCAGCCCTGCAACACCAACAACTCATGGTGCCTGGGATAGTAAGGGAGAAGGTCTGCCGGTGCCGGCGAGGGAGACCAACCCCTGTGGGTGCAGTCTAGGACTTTGGAGAGGACAGGGTCCCTGGTGGAATGGTCACGAATGTCCACCGCTGTCACCAGCGAAAGTAGATCGTCAACCAGGAGGACGGCCACCGTGGGGGCCAGGTCGTGGATGTGGAGAGGCAGGGGACAGTGGCTGAGGGCATCAGCCTGCCCAATAGCCTTACCCGGCCGATATAGCAATTGGTATGAGTAGGCAGCCAAAAACTCCACCCATTGGGACATGCGTGGAGACAAAATCTGAGGGGTCTGTTGGTCTCCTGCCAATAACCCTAAAAGCAGCTTATGGTCCGTAATGAGGTAAAAAAACCGGCCATACAGGTAGTCGTGGAATCGTTTGATTCCCGCCACAGCCGCAAGAGCCTCCCTATCAATTTGGCTATAATTCCTCTCCACCGCCAATAAGGTCCTTGAGTAGTAGGCGATAGGCGCCTCTGCGCTGGATGGTAAAAGGTGGCTTAGGACAGCCCCCACCCCATAGGGGGAAGCGGCACACGTCAAGGAAACGGGCAGGCTATCGTTATACTGAACGAGGACGGCGTCGGAGGAGAGGATGTCCTTGACGGCCTGGAAAGAGGCAGCAGCCTTGCAATCCCAGAGCCAAGGGGATTTAGCATCAAGAAGCCGATGGAGAGGCTCCGCTATGGACGTTTTATGGGGTAAAAAGACAGCATAAAAATTGAGAAGACCAAGAAAAGCCTGGAGTTCGGCTTTATTGGAGGGGACAGGGGCATTTTTAATGGCCTCTACCTTGCCGGGAGCTGGGTGGATGCCAGAGGCATCAATAAGAAATCCCAAAAACTCCACCCGGGGAACCCCAATATGGCATTTTTCCCGTTTCAGTTTTAACCCCACCTTTCTGAAACGAGAGAGAACAGCCCTAAGCTTGACGACTAACTCTGCCTGGTCTGCAGTCGCAACCAGGACGTCATCAAAGTAGGGGACCACCCTCTGCAGACCATGGAGCAGGCGCTCCATGAGGCTTTGAAAGATGCCTGGGGTGACACTAACCCCAAACTGAAGGCGAGTGTACTTAAATGCACTGCAGTGCGTAACTATGGTCTGGGCCAGGGTGGTGGCATTATCCACCGGAAGCTGTTGATAGGCTTGAGCAAGGTCCAGCTTCGCAAAAAATTTTCCCTGGCCCAGAGAGTGGAGTAAATGCTGCACCACGGGCACCGGGTAATG